CAAATGACTTACAAAATGGGTGAACTGTAAAAAGCAAATTGCACCCCCACGCACACCACTCCCTGGTCCTAGATAAGCCAAGTTCAAATCCAGGCTCTTTCACTTACTCACCAGCTTTGTTAGTTGGCTATTAACCCTCTTCTGTCTCCTTGTGTTTTATCAGCAAAATGGAGACACTAGTGGTAGCCATGTCAAGTCTTAAAAAAAAATCCATGCAAAACTAACCTATGCTGTTAGAAGTCAGGATAGTGGTTTTTCTCATGGGGACGGAATCACCAAAATAGACCACAGGGAAGCTTCTGGGATGCCAATCCAATGGATGTGCTCAGTTCCTGAAAATTAATCAAGCTGTATGATATGAGCATTACTTTGAATCTATAGTAGTTTTCAATAAAAGTTTTTAAAATATCCATGCAAACATCCATACAGTCATTATCAAATTGGCACATAGCAATTCACTGTTAGCTGTTGCTCTTATACCCTGCTGAGCTATCACCCTCTTAAACTTCAACATTATTCCTGGAAAGAGAAGATGAGGAACAAGAAAAAGAAATGCTCACAAAGGGCAACCTTGACTGAGCACCAAGTGACTTAGATATTTGTACTCAAGGGTTGGGAAATTATGCTCAATAGATTAGTTTTGCTATTCTCTTATGCTCAGAACAGTTTCTGAAGAGGGGTCAGCAGGTGGTGTAGGGGTTAAGGCTCTGAACTCCCACGTGGTTGACCATGGTTTGGGTTCCAAATCTGGCTGCTTGAAACTCATGCCGGGAGCATGTGCATGCATGCCCAAAATCCCAAGAGGAAAAGGGATTGTGTCACTGGCCATCCCCCCATAGGGGGTGATTTCTCACTTGCTATCTCTCTATCCTTCCAGTAAGTGCAAGTGTCCTATAGCAAAAATCCACCCTCCCCCCAAAAAAAACAAAAGAAAAAAGAAAAAGAAAAAGAAAAGCTCCTGTAGGACTGCCAGAGCACATTTGGAATCAGTTGCATTTCCAGAATTTTTCCTCTTAGGGCTGCATTTTATTTGGAAAGGAGAGATGAGGGATAGGTCGGGCAGCTGAGTCTGCACTTCAAGTGAGATTGAGGAAGTGTCAAATGTCCAAATTTGAAGTGCGGCGGATGTGAGGATGGTGAGGTTAGTAGAAATGATGCCCTCCTCAGTGCCATCGTTTGGAATATCGGTCCTGAAAAAGGAGAGGAAAATTCCCGGCGAACCCAAACTGGCAGTGCCTGGTGTTATCATAACACCATAAGCTCAAAATGTCTTGACCCCGCAGCCCCAGCAAGGTCACTGTAGAAACAACCGAGCTTTGGTGGCATGTCTGACCTGCCGGAGAATGGCGGAGAATGACGAAGGCCTACTTAAACATCGTGCTTGGTCAATCATTAATGAAGATTTTTGACAAACAAAGTAGAGCCAGCCAAGAAAGAAGGGTGGCTAAAAATTAGCTAAGGAAGGTCGTATTTCTTGCAAATGCAGGGTTTTGGTGTGGCTTTCGATTGCAGGTATGACTGTGCAGAGGACATTGTGTGGAAATAAAATAGGATCCCATTGGGGAAATCAGTGTGACTCTGAAACTTTCGATTAGGGACCCTCTTTCACTCTCACATGTCCTGAGAAGTCACCGTGCCTCCAGTTCTCTGATGGGTTTACCTGGGGACGGTGAGGACGTCCTTGTGGGCAAAGGCTTTGACTCCAGAAACTCCAGAGAAGAGTGAAAGGTCACTGAAAAACCTGAGGCTGGAATCTGGACCTGCAGTGAAGAAGGAAGGGGTGGAGGACCTTTTTTAAAAAATGTACTTAATTGAATTAATTAAAAAAATTTTTAATTTAACTCATTATTTTTATTTTTAATTTCTTACGAGGCACGGACTCTCACCAGAGACAGAGGGAAAGTGAGAAAGCAAGCCACCAGGTCCAAGACTTGAACTATGGCCTACCAAGTGGAAGTCTCGTGCTTTAGCCACCACACCACCTGCTGGCCTTGCCCTGGTAGCTCTTATAAACTCTCTAGGGCAAGACCCGGGTTGGTAGGCATCCATCCCCCTGGGCCAGGAAGGCAGTGGGGAAGGAGCAGCCCATGAGGGGTCCCTCTCAGATGCACCACGCAGAAGACAGTCCAGCTTTGGCAGTATAGATTAACCCAGGGCTCTACCACTTTCTGAACACCCCAAACAGGAATGAATAGGGTTCTTCCCACTTGATGTTGGCTCCCAGATACCTCTTTGTGGGGACCAAACTTTTCCTTCCGCAGCCAACGCAGGGCCACACACCATGTTTAATGTCGAGAACAAATGTTCGTTTTCTCCCTCCTGTTTCAGGCCACCAGGCAGGACTATTTTCAGGGACCTGGAGCACAGGCCTGGGGAGTGCCTGTCACCCCCACTTTTCTGCCCTAACAACTCCTCACCCTGTGGCTCTCTACTCAAATGCCGCTTCTTCCCCCAAACTTCCTTAACCCCCTGCCCAAGCCCCAACCAAGAAAATGCTCTTAATTATGCAAGGGAATTTCTGGGAGGCAGAGGGTCCTTCTGTTGACCATTGTCTCGCCAGCGCCCCCTGCTGTGCTGGCCCAGGGGTGGCACTCAACACATGTTTATTGAATAAATGGGCGAATCTAGAGGCTTCAAAATGGAAAGGCTTGATGGGATTAATATAGAAGAATGCATTCACACTAGTTTAACAGGGGAAGGAAAGGAGAGAACTTTCTAGGAGAGTGCCTACAATGACCAGAACTTTTTAGATTCATTAGCTCACCCCTGATTTTCACAACCACTTTATGAGGTCAGGATTATTATTATCTCTAGTTTATCAGTTAAAACTGGGCTCAGGGGACCAGCAATTAGCATAAGGGCTATGTTGCTGGACTCCCATGTAGTCGACCGTGGTTCGCGTCCTGGACCTGGTGGCTTAAAACTCACGCCCGGCGCGTGTGCATGCGTGCCCAAGATCCCGAGAGGAGAATGGAGGAGAAGGGATTGTGGTGTGGCCATCCCCGGTGGGACGATTTCTCGCTTTCTGTCTGGCTCTATCTGTCTGTCTGGCGAGCACACGCGCCCTATAGCAAAACCCTCTAAAAAAAAAAAAAAAAAGAAAAGAAAAAGAAAAACTGGGCTCAGAGAGCAGAGGCATCCTTTCCGGGGTTGCACCACGGGTAGGTACCAAGCCTGCTTGTTCCAATAGGCCATGGTGCTGGCTTTTCTCACTCCTCACGCCCATGAGCGTGCCCCAACTGCCTCTGTGAGTGTAAAGGTATCTGGGGCACGTTCACTGGAGCGAGGAGTGAGAAAACAGGAATGCTGGTTCTTAGAAAGGGGACCAGCAGATGGCGTAAGGGCTATGTCACTGGACTCTCATGTAGTCAACCGCAGTTCGAGTCCTGGACACAGTGTCTTAAACTCACGCCAGGCACGTGTGCGTGCGTGCGTGCGTGCCCAAGATCCCGAGAGAAGGGAAGAGAGGGGATTGCGGTGTGGCCATACCCCTGGGGGTGATTTCTCTCTCTGTCTCTCTGGCAAGTGCACGTGCCCTATAGCAAAAACCTCTCCAAAAAAAGAAAAGAAGAAAGCAGAGACGATAAAGGAAAAGAGGGAGAAAGAAAAGGCTGTATCAGGTCCAATAGTTGCTTCATAAATGAAGCAAAATAGTTTTGGCTCTTTATGTCCCTATTTAAACCTAAGCGACCTCTGACCTAGGGAGGGTTCAGAATTGGGTGAGTCGAGGAAGAGGCAGGACAAGGATGGGTGAGTACCTGTGTCAACCCACTCAAGACGTTCTTAAAAATCTGAAGATATACGGGCCAGCTCCGCCCACAGTGATGTGCTGCTCAGGGACGCCAGATCTTACGACTGTGGTTCAAATCCCGAGCCCTGGTGGCCATGTGGGAGTGCCCAGTGCCTTAACCACCACATCACCTGCTGGTCCCCAATTTTTTTTTTTTAAGAGATTTTTGCTATAGGGCATATGCACTCATTGGAGAGAGAACAGAATGCAAAAAAAACCACCTCCTGGGGCCACACAGTAATCCCTGGAGGAGAAGCTCCAGGGATCTTCGGATGCACGACACATGCCTGGCATGCATGACTTTCAACCTGCACGTGGGAGGCCAGAGACAGGACCTCCTAGCACGTGACCTAAGTTCAAGGCTACTGATAATTTATCATTCAAATATGTCCCCGTCTTCAATGGTAACTCCAAACCAAAGACATGACCAGAACTTCCTGCAACTTAAAATATCAAATTAGTTGGCCCCATTTAGTTCTTAGGGTTTTCCTAATTCCCCCTCTCCCCCCAGATTTATGTCATAAAGCACGTGTGCTACCTGGAGAGAGAGAGACAGAGAGAAAGTGAGAGACAGAGAGGGAAACCACGCCCAAATCCCTTTCCCTCCTTGGACTCGGGGCACCCATGCGCACGTGCCTGGTATGCTTCTTCAGCTGCTGGGTCTGGGACTCAACCGTGGGGTCGACTCTATGTAATCCAGTGCCTTACTCATCACGCCATCTGCTGACGCCCTCAAATTTTTTTTGTTGTTGTTAAAAAAATACAGTAAACCAGGATAAATAAAACACAATGTAAAATAATGACCTGAGATTGCTTTTAAACAAAGCTTTATTTACTACATACATCCAAAGAATGTACTGTAAATGGAGCAAGATCGAAATAAAAGCTTTTCAAATACAAAGCAGCTACAGGTAACTACTCAGCTACTTGCACGTCTGACAACAGAACTCTAAAACCTTTTTTTTTTTTCTCTTTTTAACATAGTTTATATTTGTTCTTAACCCTAAAAAAAAAAAAAATAGTTCACATTTCAAGTTATCAACTTACCTCAGTAGTGTACGTGAAATGGTTTTGAAACACGAACAGGAAAGACCACAGGCTGGAGAGTCACTGACACTGAACGGGCAAGTTAAAGTTACCAACATTCATTTTTCAAGGTAGTTTGGTAGTGACCGCGTTAAGATAATGGTTTTTGCTCAGTTTTTTTGTGTTTTATTTTTTGGGGGGGGGGTTGTTGTTGCTTTTGCATATAATTTACAGGCACATGTAAAATATAGTAAGGGCATTGGGTCAGAGTTGCATCCAGTGAACCCCTGGACGATCCTTCACCGGAAGGAGGCCTCTTCCCACGGCTGACAGAGGAGGGTGGGACGCACAACGCACGTGTTCGGATTACTCACTCCCACACGTGTGAGTCTGGCCTGCAAGGTCGCCAGAAACATTGCACTATTCCTTCAGGCCGTTTAGGGACGCCAGAAAGGAATGTCAGAAATGCATCAAGGCCTGATCAGGCCTTCCATCATTTCATAGACAGTTAAATAAATATTGCTTATATATAAAAATCCATCCCATCCCAAGGGGAGAGGTTAAAAAGAAAACAAGCAAAAAAAAAAAAAAAAAAAGGATTTGGGAATTTCTTAATTTAAATCATAATGTAAAACAAACGTAGGTGTCTAGGGCACGATCCTATCATTAATTCACAAATCAGAACTCTCCACAAAAATCCACGGAGTGGAAAGGTTTCGTCTAGAACGCGACGTAAGAACGGGACGGCATGCCTGCCGCCTCACCGCGCGCCTCATTTCCTGGGTGGCGTCTTGAAACCAAAAAAAAATTTCCAAGTTGATGTATTTCATAGAGGACAATCTTACCATGTGTACTGTATTTTACATTCACTCTCCTAAATAAAAGCCTTTAAACAGGCACAAGACACTGAATGTACATTGACTTCCTATGAAAACACACCCTTTCAATAACATGGGAATCAAATGGTCCATTTTGGAAAAACCTATATACCATGAGCTTCTGCAGCATAAAAGTTCTCAAAGCAAGCATTAGAAATATTTACACGCTATCTCGGAACTCCTGCAGGTCTCTCCTCCTCCTGAACGTGTGCACCCCAGTTAGTTTACTGGCCAGGTGCACGGCCACAGAGGAAAGCTCCATGTCCATTTTGGAAAAACCTATATACCATGAGCTTCTGCAGCACAAAAGTTCTCAAAGCAAGCATTAGAAATATTTACACGCTATCTCGGAACTCCTGCAGGTCTCTCCTCCTCCTGAACGTGTGCACCCCAGTTAGTTTACAGGTGCACGGCCACAGAGGGAAGCTCCATCCCATAAGCATAAGGCCACCATCATCCTTTAGAACCACGGACATTTCTGCATGAAACACGATAAGGCAGCTAGAAGCATCGCTTTCTGCGGCCAAGAGTCTATGGCGGGCTTGTTTACACAATATACATTCTTTGCCCTGCCAGACTCAGCCTCAAAAAATGAATACAATAAAGGCATCAGAAAGGGAATTAAAGTTGTGCATCGGGCAATTCAATAGTTTTACAAAGATGTCTTCTACAAACCTGTTAAAACCTTGTGCTTACTCTGTTATGGAAAAGAGCACGCATGAAAGAAAAAAATCCTCCCCAACTGAAACACACACACACACACCAAAACCCAACCAAAACCTAGGGAGAAATAGAAAAGCCATAGGTTGTTTGGGCTCTTAGGTATTCACCTGCCCCAGACTTGCCAAAAGTTAAGGCTGGATTTGGGATTGGGAGCGAGAAGGTGAGTGATGGGAGGGGCCGTGTTTAAGGATAAAGGCACATGGAGAATGAGCCCCAGGGAGGTGAGAATGTTCCAGTGTTTGGACTCAGAAGTGTGACAAGTCTTTTCAATGTTGGCTTTTAAGGAGAGATTGTGTGTTTGGTTTTTTATTAATTTTTTTAATAAAATAGAACCATTGTGGATAACACACAGCAACCCCGTCGAGCCTTAAAGCCAGCAAAAATACAGAGGTTTGACTCATTTTAAAATTGCACTTTCCAGTGTTACCTTTAAAATAATGTTTTCTGTAGTATTTTAAAGCACTACTGTTTGTACCTTTAAATAGTGAATATATATTTCAAAATAGTTCCCTAGCTGCACAAATGTGCTTTTTTATTTTTTAATATAGTCGATATATTATCGAAGGTACTACAAAATAGAAATCTCTGGAGTGCAGACGTTAAGAAAATAACCTTCATACTGAAAATATATCCTTAAAAAAACAAACACAACAACACATAAACCTCTATACAAAGTGGTAGAGTGTACAAATGTTTAAAAGATGGTATCCAGGCACGGGCCATGGCGAGTCTCTTAGAAATGTATGAACACAGGCCTGCAAGGTTGAAAATAGTCTTTAAAAAACTAGTGAAAAACTTCATTTATATAAAATATTTCCGTGTGACACTTGATAACATTCTTCGCGTTCGGGGTTGGTTCATCTGTGTGCTGATCCGACATGGTTTCTCCTTCTTCATAAATAGTCACGCGTTCCTTTGGCGGGCCTGCCTGCGCTCTGTCCCCAGGCTCAGTACGTCTGGTAGACGTCGTGAATGGGGACCTGGATGGCGGGGAAGGCCTGAGGTATGTAGCCGGCGTAGCCTCCGTACACGGCGGCCGCGTTCTTCTGTAGTGTGGCAATCGTGGCTGTGGCCGGAGTGGCAAAAGGGACGTAACTGGCCCCGTAGATCCCGGCGGTGGGGATTCTCTGGACGTTGGGGGCCACCGTGTAGACTGGAGTTATTGGGCGGCCCTGGGGAGGAGAGACGAAAAGAATCCATGATTCAATCATTCGCTGCACATTTCTGGAAGCCAGGAAGACATGGATGGAAGGGCCGAGGTGGCCATCAAGGACTGAGGCAGAGGGTAAGTGACTAACAGCTACCTGAAGGGGTAGGGTAAGGGCCACCGAAGAGGTCCCATGGCACTGGACCCATTCCCATCCAGTGACAGGACCTTAATGAGAGGGAGACCTGGGAGGTGAAGGGAAAGGTGAAACCCTTGGGAAGCCCCTGCCCACCACTCCACTCAGCTGGACTCTGCCCCAAGTGAGCTATACAGGGGTTGGAAAACCTACCCGCCACACATCTGATCTCACGGTAATGGAAAACACGTATTTTTGCTAAAGCCTGCCCCCCAACATGTGTCAGCTGCCTCCACACTTACTTCACTGATGCAGCATGATCTGTTTCAGAAATGGAGAGGCGGGGTGGTCGGCGGTGCAGTGCTAAGACGGGGTACTCCGCCAGGCACGTCCACCAGGGAAGGCTGTGGCTTACTTTCGGAGAGCTCTCGGAATGTGCCCGGCACTCACGGGCCTGTGACCTGGGCTGGCTGAGGTGGGCAATGGCTTGCAGCACCAGGACTTGTCAGAAGTGCTGTCTCTCTGTCTCTGTCTCTCTTCCTCATGGAGCACATAAAGTAAAAGAGTAAACTGTGCCAGCCACCTTGATGGAATGGGGTGTATGGTATACTGGTCTCAAGGGACACCTCCTTAAGCTCTAAACATGAGAAATTGTGACCACACACAATTTTCAGTCAATGTGAGGGTTTCAGCCGCTAAGCTATGACACCACCGTCTATACAAACAGCCGGAGAGGTTAGGGAAGGAGCCAACTGACTTGCGGAGCTGGACAAAGCATCTCCAAGTGGAGGCCTCTGAACTGGGGGTCCCTGGATAAGAAGTTTCCGACGAGGAAGAAGCGGGGATAGACAAGCTAAGTAAAGCCACGTCGGCTGGAGCAACCCCCGCCATCTCTGGAGAAGTCCCTAGTGCTGCCTGCTGTCCACCTGAGAGTGGGACAGACCCCGTTTCCAGAACAAACAGGAACAGAAAGGGTGCAGGACTTCCCAAAGCATTTGCCACGGAACCGATTGTGTGAGCTGCTTTACTGAAAACATAAAGACATGTTTGCTAACAGAAAACATCCCTTTAACAAAGGACCCGGTGTGTCTTAGTTTCATAGAATGCCCTGTTGTACACACTACCAGGGTATCTGCGTCTTGCGACATCTTCGAAATAAGCAATTTAAGATACAGGAAATGGAGAATTAAATCCAGAAATAAATTCTCCCTGCATTTTGTTATAAAGGAATTAGATATCATTTCTTTTACAAAATCCGCAAATCAGAATTGCAAAATTATGTTCAAAGGAATTGCTAACCTAAGCGGACTTTCATGAATTACAATCGATATAATAATTATACCAATGATTATCACATGCCTGGGAGACACTGGACTGCCAAGCTCTGTTCTCAGTGCCTGATTTGCACGGTATTATTGCATTAGCACAGCCACTAGTGAGGCTGATGGTTACTTAGAGAGGTGTAGACCTGCTAGACGTGTTAAATGACTTGAACAAAGTGACAAGAATTTGGGGACCAGCAGGTGACGTGTGATGTGGTGGTTAAGGGCATTGGACTCCCACATGGCCAACCACAGTTTGAATCCCAGATCTGGCAGCTTGCTTTCTCACTTTCCTTCTCTCTCTCCGTCTCTCTCTGGTGAGCACACAAGCCATATAGCAAATTTTAAAATAATAAAAAGTAAAATAAAATAAATGATTCTTAAAAAAAAAAAAAGTGATGTGGCTTTTAGGCAATATGACATGTGATCCTGAACCCTGTATTTTTGGTGATAAGTTATCTTTTTGTTGTTGTTTTTGCCATAAGGTGCGTGTGCTCACCAGAGAGACAGAGTCAGAGAGGGAAAGTGAGAAATCATCCCCTGCCCCGGTGGGGATGGCCATATCGTAGACCTTTCTCCTCCACCCTCCTGGCGCGTCCTACCTTATCCTGGCTCCTACCACACTGTGTAGAGAGTCTACATCTTTAGGGCCCCTTTACAGCAAGGGAGAGAGCCTTCAGAACTGGGCAGATGGCGGTTCATGGCAAGACACGAGCACTCCTTCCCAAACACGTGGACAAGGGAAGGTGGGATCCGAGAGGGAGCTCTCCACGTGCAACAGGCAGCCCGACACCTGGGCTTGGGCTGCTCCCCTACACCACCTTATGCACATAAATGTGCACCAGCTTAGCTCGGGGCAGATGACGACAGAGTAGAGTGGGGAGTAAACAGTTTCCGGTGTCCCCAACAGCTGGCTTAACCTGGGTCCCATGACCTTCACAGTCATAAATACTCTGTAAAGAAAGACACAGGTATAGGTGGGATCCCTGGTAGTAATGAAGTATCTGTGGAGAGAGACTTCGAGGCGGAGGAGGGACCACAGAGGAAGAAGGGAAGATCAGCAGTATTTGTAACGGCTATGTCGCTGGACTCCCATGTAGCCGACCGCGGTTCAAGTCCCAGACCTGGTCTTAAACTCACGCCGGGCGTGTGTGCATGCGTGCCCAAGATCCCGAGAGGAGAATGGAGGAGAAGGGGTTGTGGTGTGGCCATCTCCCCTGGGGGGTGATTTCTCGCATTCTCTCTCTCTGTCTCTCTCTGGCTTTCTGGTGAGTGCATGTGCCCTATAGCAAAAATCTCTCCCCCAAAAAGAAAAAAAGAAAATCACACTGGGCTTGTATGTGTACATGACCAAAATCCTGAGAGGAGAGTGGAGGAGAAAGGCCGGCAGCATGGCCATCCCCCTCGGGGGAGGGGTGATTTCTCATTTTCTCTCCCTCACTCTATTCTACGTCTCTCTCTGGTGAGCACATGCACTCTATAGCAAAATAAATTAAAAATAAAAGAAAAAGAAATCAGTTCTGGGCCCAGAGAGTGGGGCTGACAAAAATCTTCAGGGCAGTGGGTAGTCCTAAGGCTCAGACTATCCTGTCAGCCTCCAAGGAAGAGCTGGTCACTGAACTTACGGCTTCTCTTTCCATGCCCCGTGATGTCCCCTGGTGTATGTGTCATTCACCGTGCCATGAACACAGCACAGACCAGGCGGCTGAGCTGCCGACCCTCATTCTGTTCCAGCCACGCGTGGCTCTGGTAACTCAGCCCTGATCCGCGGGTCTGCAAACAGACCGTGTGGACAAGCCTGTGCAAAGGGCCAAGCCAGTACAACCGCATTAATTCAGCTCACCAACGAGAAGGGCGAGAAAGGCGGAAGCTGGCAGTGGAGGAAATACTTAGCCACTGGGCATCTTTAAAAACTGCTTCTAGGGCCAGCAGGTGGTGTGTAGGTGAAGGTGGCTGGATCCTGCAGAGGTGACTACTTGGTTCAAATCCTGGACCTGGCAGCTTGAAACACATGCTAGGCGCGTGTGCGTGCGTGCCCAAAATCCTGAGAGGAGAATGGAGAAGTGATTGCGGCGTGGCCATTCCCGCTAAGGGGTGCTGTCTCACTTTCCCTGTCTCTGTCTCTGTCTCTCTCTCTCTGTATTTCTCCAGTGAGTGCACACACCCGATGGCAAAAATCTTAAAGGAAAAAAAAAAAAACCAGAAACCACCTCTTCGCTGAGCTACAATTTGGAGTGTGACAAGGTGAGATGTCTCCCTGGATCGTACATGGTGGTTCCCTAACATAACCTAAAAACGGGGGCCAGCTGGTGGAGCGGTGGTAAAGGCGCTGGACACTCCCACATGGCCGATCACGGTTCGAGTCCTGGACCCGGTGGCTTGCTTTCTCACTTTTCCTTCTCTCTCTGTCTCTCTCTCAAGTCAAATTAAAATGAAATGAATGAATAAATAAAATGAATTCTTAAAAAAAAAAAAAAAAAAAAAAACCAAAAATTTTTTTGACTCTTTTTAAAAAAAAAAAAAAAAAAAACCCTAAATATATTTCAGTGCCATTGAAGAAAAAAGGGGGCATAGAACAGCACGGCACGGATAAATCACACCTGTCACTGTCGCGTATTATTTCCACCCTAATACAATGACACTGTCAGGGTCTAGTGCAATTCGATGTGAAATGCTGCTTCTCTGTCATGACCGATATCAGAAATGCTCAGTCCACCCAATCCCGCAGCTCTAACGGAGAGAGAGGCGCACGGAACCCCCAGTGCTGAACCCCACACGGATCCACGACGCAGAGTGGCTTCACACAGAAGGCGAGACCACAGGGAGGACTGTACCTGGAACGGCGGAGGCGTGGACACGGCGGGGATGATGGCGGCGGCGGCCGCGGCAGCGCTGGCCCGGTCTGGCGGCACGGCGATGGGGCTGATCATGTGCTCCATGGTGTGGATTTTGCCATCCTCGATCATTTTGGGTGCCGGTGCTGCCGGAAACACGGAGTACTGGGCTCCGATGGCAGGGATGGCCACTGCAAGAGAAGCCAGAGCAAACAGGTCAATCACTTGCTTTTTTAAAAAATAATTATTTAATTTTATTTCCTTTTTAATTTGACCAGAGAGGGACAGAGTGAGAGAAAGTGAGAAAGCAAGCTACCAGGCCTAGGACTCGAACCACGGCTGGTCATATGGGAGGCCAGCGCCCTTAACCACCACGCCACCTGCTGGCCCCCAGGATAATCACTTTCAATCACCAGCGGGGTTCTGTCACTCCCTCTAAGGTAGTTCTAGTCCTGGGTTCCCCTCGCTGGCTTGTGCTCTGTCAGTGCTTCCAAGGAACGAGGGACCCCTGAGGGCAGAGGGGAGGGAGGCAGCAGGTAACTCCTCTGCTTGTCTCTTTCTTTTTCTTTTTCTTTTCTTTTCTTTTCTTTTCTTTTCTTTTCTTTTCTTTTCTTTTCTTTTCTTTTCTTTTCTTTTCTTTTCTTTTCTTTTCTTTTCTTTTCTTTTCTTTTCTTTTCTTTTCTTTTCTTTTCTTTTCTTTTCTTTTCTTTTCTTTTCTTTTCTTTTCTTTTCTTTTCTTTTCTTTTCT